GAACGGGGTGAGGCGGAGCCCGGACAAGACGGAGTTTCTGAGGGTGGGGGCCCCCGTGGCTGGTGGCCTCTCGTTTGGGGGGGTGGCCTGGGTTCCAGAGAGTGGGGTCCGCAGCTTGGGTGTACATTTGGACCCGACGCTCACCATGGAAACACAGGTGGCGTCGGTTGTCCGCTCCACCTTTTTCCATCTTTGGCGGATAGCCCAGCTGCGACCCTACCTCGACAGGGGGGCACTCACTACCTTGGTGCACGGGAGGGGAGTAGACGGACTGCCTTTGGTCCCAGTTGGAACTCCTGTGGTTTCACTTTGGTGTTGTAACCATACTTCTGGGCCACTTGAAACCTACTGGTAACTGTTCTCACATTCCATGCAGCTTCTGGTTTTAGCACTTAGGTGTCTTTTAGGTCAAGTATGAAATTGGTGCTCAGGTGAGACCAGGGAATATGGTGTTGGCTTTGCCAATAAATAAATAAATGAATAAATAAATACAAATTACAACACAAAACCAACTTGGCTGGTGTTGCAGGCAGAGGCGTCACTTGTGTTGGTCACCTCAACAAAACGTTAAAGCTGAACTGTCAGCTAACTTTTTTTTAACCCTTGTCGTGGGGCTGCCCCTGCACTGCAAGGGTTAAATGCTTGTTTAAATTCTAGGGGCAGTATTAACAGCAAAATACTTACCGGCCCTCTAATCCCTCGTCAGGCTAGAACAGTAATGGCTGCCATTGCATCCCTCTGCTGGACTACAGCACCAGCAGAGTCAGTTGCCGAAAGCCAGGATCGGAGGACAGATATTTCTCCATTCATACAGCCCCAGACAGTTCCCGAGGTTCAGCTGCAGGGGGTAGCAATCCAGCAACTCATGGCTCATGTGCTCACAGAGAGGGCTCTGCATGCCAGCTGTGGCATGTGTGCCATAGGTTCCCCATCACTGGTCTAGAGGCACATTAGCCACTCTCAGACTCATCTGGGAAAATGAACAATTCCTGGAAAACAACTGCTAGTTCGACTACCCGGAAAAATGGAGCCCATGAAGAGGAGCAATGGCAGCCGATCACTCTGAGGACAAAGAAGACAAGAAAATGAATCCTGCTGCTAAAATTGAACAACCGATTTTATGCTCCTCCCCCTGGAAGAAGATGTGCAGACATCCAAAGATGTTCCCTGAGGCATGGGCAAGGGGCAGATGGAGAGAACAGGGATAACACTGGGGGGCATTCAGGGGAGGAAGATTGGGGGGGGTGAAGGACAGGAAAATCCCTCTCCCAATCTTCCCTTGCAGGATCCCCAAGAAAGGGGCTTTCCACCTGAGGGGGGGAGGCCTGAGGAGGGGAGGGGTGCCCAGAGCGACAAAGGAGCACGAAAGAGCCCCTCTCGCCCCCCGTCAAGAAGGGACGCATGGCTGCCTCTGCACAGGAACTAGATAAAGGCGGGGGCCTCCACCTGCCCTTCCCTCACAAGGTGGGAGTAAAAAGCAAAAGGGGTTTCTGGTGGAGGGGGAGTGAGAAGCCCCAGAAAATGGTGAGAGGCTTCCCGCCACCCAACCTGCCAACCGGAGGTCGTTTCCGGACATTGCACACACACCCCTGCCAGGTAGACCTTGCTGGAATCAAGGCAGGTCTGGTGGATGCCATCCTGGCCCCTGCTTGTCCCGTTTCCATGGCCACTTTTGAGGTAGGGGAGCTGGGTGGTGTGGACAGGACTCCTGGAGAGGTGAATGCCCCTCCCCTGAGGAATGGGGGACCCTGGCCCTTCCTGGCTCAGAAAAGCAGCCGGACAGAGGGAGAGATGGCCTAGTGGGTAGAGGGAGTGGCGAAGGCCTCCTGGCAGGGAGGATAGGCAAGAAGAAAAGAAGCCCTCCCGGGATCCCAGCCTACTGGACAACGAGGGGTCATTCTCCCAGATTCCACTTCCTGGGCAAGATCCCGGAGCGTTTTGGTGGTTTCTCAGCTCCAGCGGTTCCTGCAGGAGACGGATGACCGGGATCCCTTTCAATCTGATCCATTTCAGGCCTGGTTAGAGGATAGAGACGAGAGTTTTGGTCCTCTTTGGTGGACAACCTCGGCTGGGATCTGGACAAGGGGAGTGTGTGTGTCCCCTTTGGGTTCTGTTGGGCCTCTCCTGAGCCTTCGATACTATCGTCTACGGTGTCCTTCTGGGTCTTTTTCTCCAGGATGGGACTTGGGGGGGCATCTTTTTTACGGTGGCTCCGTTCCTTCCTGGAGGGGAGAACCCAGCGGGCGATGCTGGGGGGACTCCAGTTGGACACCCTGACCCTTTAACCCGTGACGTCCCTCCGGGATCTGTTTTGCCCCTCTGTGCATGGTTTCCTCCGTGAGGTTTCTAAAAAAAGGTTTGTTCTGTTTTCTTGCTTGTTGCGTTGAATGTGTATTTGGCGTTGCTTTTTCATCCTGTTTTTAGCATGGTTGTATATTTTGATTCTTTTTTACTTATTTGCCTATTTCCTGTTTTTAGCTTTAAATATGATCTTCTTAGGATGTAAGTCACCTCCGGCCCTTTCGGAAGAGAGAGGAGGGGATTTGAGAGAGGAACAGACCCATCATTCATTAAAAAAAAAACACACACATCCCTTGCGTCCCGAAGGCTTCCTTTGAGAAGCTCAGTCTTCCTTTCTCCCCCTGCCTCCCCCTCCCTCACCCCCTGGGGGGAGGGGTCCCGCCTTCCCCTCGGACTCTTCCCCCCCTTTCTTTCCGTGGGGGTGGGGGGGCTCCACACCAGGAGGGCCACCCCCAAGGGGGGGCAAATCTCCCCAAAGGGGTTGAGCTGCGCGGGGAAAGGACCATAGGGCGCCCTCCCTGTTTTTTTTTTTAATCCGGAGGGCACCTCATGAAATGCTTGGCGGACCCTCTTGGTGGGGGGAGGAGGACTAAGGG